TGACTAAGTAATTGGGATGGTGAGAATAAAGAACATTTTCAATATACTCCAATAATTGTTGGAAGAAAAATAGTTGGGAATAAAAAAAGAATTGGACAAACCTAATTGCATACAATAGGACAACATGAGTCTGAATTTGATTTTAAATGGAATGTTTCTGAAACAGTTGATAAAGTGAGAAGGATATAATAATGAAAGATTACACCTTGCAGAAGCACTTCATATATTAGCAATTAGTCAGATCTTACCTCAGATATTGTTAATAATGAATTATATATTCTTAATATCCTGTTTAAGTATCTCACAGAAAAAATAATTTAATCAGATCGTGTCAATACAATGATGCTGATCACCAGCTCAGTCTTTGATTCTTTATGTTAGTTTATACTTGTATCAAGGGTATATGATAGGTCTGGCTTTGCACAGTCGCTTACCCTTCACCTTCATCCTGACATGGACCTTCAAAAAAAGGTAACCACAGAAGTATGGCTGGACAGCAGACAAAGTCAGAGGTCAGAATTTCAGCAGTGATATGTCCCACTTTCAACTTAATGCCTTCCAGTATATTTCACACCACAGTTTTTTCCACTAAGTGAGATTTGAATATTTCATAATTCATGTGCCAATTATGCTAATCTCAATTATGAAGAACTTTTCACCATTTATGTCAAGTGACAAATCACCGCCTTGGAATTATATGGTTCTATCTGTGTTCTGAAAGATTTAGAGATATTGATCTTCAAAGATTTTGCATTCCATATATCAAACAGTATGTGTGTAACATTTGTCTTTTTTTTTTTTTTTTTTTTTTATAAAAAGTCTAAAATGTAAACAACTTATAATTAGCATCCAATAATGTAAACAAGTTGTCATTTAAAAAGAATATGTGTATAACTCAAGTTTGACAAAAATGTCATGATAGAAACGTATAATTCTATGGTGACAACATTTAACTAAAGTCAAGGTTCTTCACTCTTCACAGGTCAGATATCTTACTTCTAGCGCCGATCTAGATGTCATATCCAAGTATTTGTTAAAAAGAAATCCGACTTTGAGTTGTCTGGTACACAACATGGGGTTAATATCACATGCTTTGGAGACATTGTGATTAATTTTAAGACAGCACTCACAGTAAAACGAAGTTCTTTTCATGAAAGATGGCAGGGTGATTTCAATATTTAATAGGCCTACAACTAGACACTGTACCGTCAAGTGTACAATATAAGTGAAGCTAATTATTCCTAAAGAAAAAATTGAATGGTATAAATTGCTATTTTTTAATTAATACAAAAAATAAATTGACCAAAATAGTCTCCAAAACTACTTAACTGTGCCTAAAATAATAATAATAATAATAATAACTAGAATTGTACATTTCCTAAAGAAAATGTGAGTGGAGTTTGCGTGGCAAATCGATGGGGTACAAAATGGTACTAAACTGGGCAAAATAGCAATAAATGCAGAGAAATGGTTAAATTCATGTATTTATGTGGTTGCTTGGGTATTGTACATGGTTGCTAGGCTGTGGCAACGCCATTTTTATAGGTGAAGACAATAGAGATTTGATCAGCCTGCATAAGAGGCCAAACCCTGTCTTTCTATTATATTCCTGTGCTGAAATATGGCATGTTTGTGGTGTTATATGGTTGTTATGGGGCTTAAAGTGGTTGCTAGGGGGTGTTTACAAATTTGTTATGTCACTACTTAATACCGACTTGATAGGCCGAGTAAAATGAGCCCACTCTTAAGATTCTACGACTTACTAATCTCCATATCAATGTCAGCCATTTTGTGTCCATGTTAAGTCAATGGGGATTTTTGGATGTCAGCCATTTTGTGCCAATGTTATGTCTATGGAACCATTTTGGGTTGCATTTTTGCCTCAAAAGGGAGCACTTTACCACTGTCCACTACATGCTAATCATGTTAGCATCATTCTAACAACATGATAAACAAGTTGCTAGCATCAAGTTAACATGATTAGCATGTAGCTAGCATGATGCTAATCGTGTTAGCATCAAGCTAGCAACATGCTAATTGAGTTGCTAGCATGATGCTAACATGATTAGCATGTAGCTAGCATGATGCTAATCGTGTTAGCATTACGCTAGCAACATGCTAATTGAGTTGCTGGCATGATGCTAACATGCTAACCTGAGCTTCATTATCATATTGTGATGCTGATTGGTTGCCTGAGTCAAATGAGCCCACCCCCATGTCTATATGACACTCCTATGCAATGGTATAGATGTGTGACCTTTATATTAGAAGTCAATGGGATGTGCAATGGGACGTCCCACCCCATGTTAAGTCAATGGGGCAGTTATAGTGGTCTTTAAATGGTCTGGGGGTCCGTGGCATAAGAGCTTCAAAATCATAATGAGATGCTGATTAGTTGCCTGACTCAAATAAGCCAACCCCCAAGTCTGTATGACACTGCTATGTAATGTGATTGACATGTGAGTGAAGAAATGAATAGGAGACAATGGGCAATGTAAAGTCAATGGGGACCTGTTTGGGACGTCCTAGCACCCCAGGGGTACAACTTATACCCTCTTTCGGGATATGTTCTCATAAAGGCTGCAACCCCCTACAGATGCTGTGAATCCCATATTTCTATGAAATTTACACCCGGCGCTGTGATTCGTCAAAGTTCGGCTCAATGTTAAGTCTATGGGACCCTGCGGGGCCAAAAAAAACCCCACCCCTTATAAAAGTCATAGCACACCATTCCCAATAAAACTGGACGATTTGACCCCACTTTCAAGGGTCTGGGACGAAAGCTGCGGGACGAGTTACGCGCCGAACCTTGGGCAGAATTAAGAATAATAAACCAGCACAATTGTAAGAGTGGAATTTGCCCTAAGGGAAAACCTCACTAATAATAATAAACACACCTCGTGTGGTATTGCTTCACTAAAGCATAACCACCACCATAAGCAGCCTGAAAAACAGTTCACATTTTATTAGGCTTAAAGTAAAACTAAAGACAAGGTACCAGACATGTAGAAAGAATCTTTCCAAGCAGATTTAAGACTATGGGTATTGGAGATGAACTTGTGAGGGAACTATGACCAGAAGGGGTTTTTAAAACCAGTATACAACTGACTGAAAGGACATTAAATGAACTGGTTATGGTGCAGTGGATTGATATTGTGGAAATTCATAACTAGAAGGAAATCTTGAGTACCAAGACTGTTGATAATGTGGTGGTGTTGGAGGGTACCAGGACTGAGGCTTTACTGGTGCTGTAGGGTACCAGGACTGAAGTTTTGGTGGTGCCGCAGGGTATCAGGACTGAGGCTTTGGTGGTGCCGCAGGGTATCTGGACTGAAGCTTTGGTGGTCCTGCAGGGTACCAAAATTGAGGCTTTGGTGGTGCCACAAAGTACTAGGACTGAGGCTTTGGTGATGCCCTAGGGTACCTAGACTAAAGCTTTGGTGGTAACGCAGGGTACCAGAACTAAGGCTTTGGTGGTGCATCAGGGTACCATGACTGACAATTTGGTGGTGCCAGGGCATATTGTGCCATGGGGTACCAGGACTGAGGCTTTATTGGTGCTGCAGGGTGCCAAAATGGTTGGGGTACTTGTAGTGAAGGGAAACCTTTAGAGTAGGTAGGGTAAAACATAGGAAATTTTGGAACTACAGGAGCAGCAATTGTAGTGGGTGGCACAGTGGGAGTAGCCTGGTTCAAATAAGAATTCCACCAGATCACTTCTTAGGGGAAAACTGGATACCCTTGTAAAATGGGTGCGGTAGGGGGAGCTGGAGGAATGGTTGGTGCTGATACCATTAGGCAGGAAAGAATCACTTCTCGGTCCCCAAACATTAACCTCAAGTTACATTCAGTATCCTGGAGGAAGAGGTCAACAGTCAACTGCACAACCATTTCTTTTAATACACTAGAAATTCACTGCCAATGCTTACCTGATTCTCCTAGCAGCTTCCTGTAAATGGTGCAGTCAACACCACTGAGCCACCAGTGTGTCACAATGTGAGATGTTTTAAATGAGAGAAACTTGCACCGGTCGATCTTAAAATATATTATTATTTTTGTTTTGTCTCAATGTGGACACCAATAATGTTTTAAGCACGTTTATAAAAGTTACATACAGTATATGTCATATTGAAACTAGCTTAAAACTGTCTTCTTCTAAGCAGTGACTGTGACACAGGCATTGGTTCCTTCAATAAAAGGACTCCGTAAGTTATAATAAATTGTAATATTTACTTTATTTATTGTAGTACAGATTGTAAAAAAACAGGATTCACAGGCTTCTTAGGACAAACAGGAGTAAGTTGATATAACAGATCAATAATGTACATACAAACAGAGAGAGAGAGAGAGAGAGAGAGAGAGAGAGAGATTAAAATTGCTTATTACTAGGTTTTTAAAAATATAATGTATATTTTATCATTGAGAACTGTTTTTGACTATTAAAAATGAATTATGGTAAGTTTAATAGTTGGTGTTTTATTATTCAATCTCTCAGTTGGTGCAGGAGAACATATTGCTGATTTCAAGAGTAAATAAACATTGTTCAAGTCTTTAAAATATCTGCAAAAGAGCAAAAGTTTTTAGCTAAGAGTTTTTTTTCTGTTCACAAAGCTGCTGAAACAAACTTTTACTAAGTATTTTCGATAGGTTTTAAATTACTCATTACATTTTATTAACGTCTAACACAATGCTAAACTTAGCCCTCACAGTAACATAAGAATAGTTATTGTTGTACAGTGTCACAAAAATGATGCTTTTAAGATGTGTGCATACCCAAATATCTGGACCAGTTACCCTTCTAGGTTTACTGTAAAATACCCTTATAGCAAAAATTATTATTTGGTCATTTGGTTTTTTGGTCATTATCGCCTCACAGCAAAAAGGTCGCTGGTTTGAGCCCTGGCTGGGTCAAGTGGCATTTCTGTTTGGAGTTCGCATGTTCTCCCTGTGTTTGTGTGGGTTTCTTCTGGTTGCTCCGATTTACCCCACAAGTCAAAAGACATGCTCTATAGGTGAATTGGGTAAGCTAAATTGTCCGTAGTGTATGTGTGTATGTTCTAGTCCTCCAGGTTGGTGGTTGAGCATCAGGCTAACAACCCACTTCATAAAAATTGGATGTTACAAAACACCAACATGATGTGGCTAAATATAAACTTTGATATAAATGGCCCTGGGAGTAAATATGGACGTTATTTTTGGACATAAGAGATAAGAATTTTTTTCTAAATCGGCAAGTTAGGAGGTACTTTTAGTCTTAAAAGGTTTTGGTTAGTTCTTGATGTATGACTAATGCCATGACAATGAGCAAAATGTCTTTATTTTTAACTGGGGTCTAAAAAAAGGAAAACCCCCTCCTTTTTACCTTATCCATTACAATCTAGTTAATAAAAATATAGGTATCAAATTACTTAAATAGATAGATTCCAGTGTCTGTTTAAAATTCTGCTATTTTGCAGGTGGAAAGTGCTAAAGTGCTAAACTTGTTAGTAGCTCAAAGACTAGTGATGTCATCTCCACTTGCTATGCTGGTGCAGTCATCTACAGTGACCCTCGGGATGGCTGTATCTCTCTCCCACACTTTTCTAATGGTCTCTGGAGTAAAAGAAGCCACGGGTTCAATCACAGACACTTGAGCCTGCTGTAATGTAGTCCCAAGATGCTCTGGAGAATTAGGACTTGAGCCAGCATCTAAAGCCCACCTATAGGCTTTGTTAGCTGTGGCGGTGGGTGAGTCAACATCATTGCAACGTGGTCCACCTAACCGCTCGTTCTGAGTCCAGGTGGCTGTTGAAGGTGTGAAAATAGTACCTACACCAAGCAAGTGAGCATGATGGAGGGCACTATCAATGCTGTGATGAAGGTTGACAGGAGAAGGAGGGTGAAGGTCAAATTCAATAAGTGAGAGAAAGCACTCATGGTCTTGCCATTCTATACCATTTGTCCACAGTGGAGAGGCATGATAGTGGTAACTGCTGCTGTACATGACTCCTCCGCCAATAACTTCAGAATTGTCATACCCAGACATGACTGAGGTTGTTGGAGTTGCAGGGTTTTGGATCGCTGACTGGCTGACATTTGCACTAAACTGCTTACGACCTTTCCAGTTATTTGGCAACAGTTTAGCCCAGCTTCTATCTGGTCTCCTCCAAGGCCCCATTGGTAACCTGTCCAACAGCCTGTTCCAACTTGACCCCCTTTTCCCCTTCTTCGTTCTCTTAACTGTCTGCTTACTTGCTTGTGGTTTCCAGAACACTCGAGATCCCAGCAGTAGAAGAGAAAAGCTCCAGGCCAACTCAAACAGTCGTGCTGAGAGTTGCCCGAGCCACCAGCCCCATCCAAATCTGCGCCAATCACCAAGTAACCCATACAGCCAGAGGAAACTGTAGGTTTGCAGAACACAGGAGAGGACTCCGAGGATAGTGCATAGCAACAGTACACGCCTAACGCTGTTTTCTAAGCGCTTGGGGGCACTCCACCCTGGAAATGGGGTCCTTTGGGAAGTGCAGAGTTTCTTTAGAGACTGGAAGAAAATTCCTAAACAAAGTGGTAGCCCCCAGCAGACAGTAAGCGTCTGGAGCATTAACGGCAATGTTGGAGACAAAGTTTTGGTTAGCAGGTCAGCAAACAGGAGCGAGGTACAGTGAAGTGCTGCCAGTCCCCCAGTCGCCGAGAGTCGATGAGAAGATGTTTCTTCTCTCTGAGCAAGAAGAGCCAACGTGGCCTGGGCCCAGAGCAATAACGGAACAGGTAGGTTATACAAAGCAGTGAGGGTAGGTCTAGGCAGAATGTTTCTGGTACCGTATGGGTCAATTATGAGCTGGGCAAATCGAAGAAAACCAGCTAGCAGTAGAAGAGCATTTGCAAGGGTAAAGGCCTGGCGAAAGGGATGGAGCATTTTAAATCCGCCGATCAATCCGAAAGTTGCAGCAACCGCCATCAACAGAAATAGCACAGCTGAACCAAACACATGGAGCTCCCAAGCAAAGGATAATGTCCGTTTCAAGTCCTCCCACTGTAGCCGGGTCACATTCCCACTGGTGGAGACTACACATGGGCCTAGTATGCATGTGCCTATGTATCCAGACAAGTCTTTTTCTGATAGCAATCCAAACAAACTTCTAAACCATTTTTCAACATCTAAAATGGAGAGAATTTTGGTTAGAACACTTAATATGAGTAATACAAAAGTTATGAAAGATTTAAACTGACAGTATTTATGATTACCTTTGTTTTTGGGGTCATCTTTATCTGCGGCTATGTTTCTTGTCTGCAAAAGAGATGAAGCTGTAGATGATGACCCCACAGGTAAACCAGATGTAGTCTCCTCATGCGTGTCCTTACCTGAAATTCGAAAAGTATAATCAGTTTCTTTCCCTGCTGACTTTCTTGTTTGTTTGTTTGTTTGTTTGTTTTTTCTCATTAATCTTTAGGAAAAAGAAGTTTATTCAAGTGTACTTATTTTAAATAAACAAACAAACAAACAAACAAAAAAGAAAGAAAATGTTCTATCAGTCTACTTTTTATGTACTACTCTAAAATGTTCTTTCTTTAGGAAAAAGTCATTTATTCATGTGTATTATTATAAGTCTTCTAAACTAATAAATTAAATATATTTATATGCAATCCTTGTCTTACATGACTTATACTGACAGAAAATTTTTAGTATATTCAGCCTGTACTTGTTAATAGGCTACACAAAAAAAAAAAAAACATAATTTTACTTAATTTTTAATTAAAAGAAATTAAATCATGGCTATTAAATTACAGAAATGTACTGTAAAATAACAGAGGTTGAAGACCAGACAGAAATTTACCAGAAATTTAAATGCAAGGAAATTTCTGTAATTTAAGGTTTGTTATTTTACGGTAAATTTCTGTAATTTAATAGCCTTATTTTACATTTTTTTACCGGCACCCCAGCTGCTGAAAAATAAAATTACGGATTTTTTTACAGTGTATATGCACAGCTAGTGCTTTTCAGCCAATGATAAACTTCTGGTGAAAGCTTAATGTGTCTATTTTCAATTTCATAAGGTTCCTTTTACAGCATTGATGTTAGTACATTCAGATACTTGTGCAGTAATTTAGTTGTTCAAGTGTAAAATGATATGAACAGCCATAACCGGAAGCTCCATCAGGATCAACGAGCCCAGAAACTCCATTGAAAATACTAGAGTAAAATAAACTGTCATATTTTAAAAACATGGCGGGAGGAAATTTATTTTAATACAGTGCTTCTTGTCAGGTCTGAGACCCACTTCATATCGTATATCTATCAGGCAGTAAAGATCCCGGATTATTAAAGAAATCAGACCTTAAACTTGCCAATTTTATATTTTATAATAAAAGGATAGTTCACCGGAAGCGCTGAGGCTGGCTGGTTGAAATTAAAAGTCTGTGTGCATATACCCCATTGACATTTACTTAAAAGTATGATTACGTCTTCTAAATATACTCTTTTTTACTCTATACTTTCGTTTTTACTCTTTTGATTGACTGACTTATTAAATATATTTTTCACATAATATTATATACTGTCCCAGTTTCAGAGATATTCTAAGAATAAACTGCATGTTTGAGCAGTGTAAACCTAAAATAACTTGCAGTGATCAATCTTAAAATACATTAGTGTCATTGTTTTGTCTCAAGATGTACAGTAGTAATAAATTTCCCATATCTTTTAAAAATAAAAGCTGTTTAAATGCCCTAAATTAACTAAGGCCTATGACAAAATCAATATGCTACGTATTCTTGCTCTTCTATTCGATAAGGGATTGCAAATTATTTAAAGTTATTTCAAAACTTTAGCACATCGCTGATGAACACTAACCAGCCTGTAATGTGGGTGTGGCAGCAGGCGGGTGGTTGGTGACATAACGTTCCTTTCCCACTAAGAGATTCTGAGGGGGCTCTTGGATGGTGTCAGGCTGCATCACAACAGTGCCATTGTTTCCTGAGGTTTCAGGCTTTGTTATAGAGCTCTGTAAATTCTGTGTGGATGCAACATACTTTGTATCCTGCAAAGTCTTCATATCTTCATTATTGTTCCTCTGTACTTCAGTATCATATGTCTGCAAATCTAAATTAGCAGTAAAGTTCGTTGTAGTATTTGTTCCTGTTGTTGGTTTGGTGGTTGTCAACAATGCTTGGTCTTTGTCCATTCTCTCATTGTTATTTATGTAGGTGTGTGTAGTCACTGTAGACGTAGCTTGATCAGGAGCACTGTTATTTCCTTCTAAAATTATATCCTCCTCCTCATGATCAATATGTTGAGTTAGTTTTTCTGCAACTGGAAGAGAAGGGTGAGCACCTGATTCTTGCTTCTCTAAATCTTGTTTCTCTGGTCTGTCTGGAATTAACATGTCCATTTCCAGTGGACCAGTAGAGGGCATTATAATCTCAAGGCTTTGCTGAAGTCCACTTCCCTCCCCAGAGCCCTCGTTTATGCTAAAGTTGGGCAAAAGGGGTAAAAGCAAATCTTTAGACAATCTGTTGTCCACTCTTTCCACAATCAGTCCTGTGTGATGTGATGTGCGTAGAGATTTCAGAAGCTCATCAAGTGCCTGGTTGCTCAGGTTGTTGTGGCTTAAGGGTTGTGTTGTTGAGTTAGAGTCATGGGACGTGACAGCTTGCTGGAGAAGAGACAGTGCTAATGCCAGTGTGTGGAGCCAAGCCATTTTGCTAGTGCCAAAAATGGTGCCTGAATGATGAAAAAAAGCAGGATTTAATATACTTTTAAAAATAACATTTGTGAAATTGATAATAATAAAATAAATGATTGTATAACATTTTTAGCTATGGAAATATTTCTCAGTTTCTATAAATTACAATTGTATACTTTGGTCATGTACAACATAACATGTGAAAAAAATTTAGTTTAACTCGGTCAACTACTGGTTTTTATTTTTTTATTTAACTTTTTACATAAAACAACAAAAAAATGTGCTATAATAATAATAGCAGCAACAACAACAACAATAATAATAATAAATGCACTATTTCAGTGTTTCTGAAACTGTGGTACATGTACTACCAGCCTGATCTCACGAGAAAACGTAAGTATTTTACGTTTTGCCAATTTAGTGGCTAATTCACTAAATTGTTCAGTCATATGAAATTGTACGATTTTAAAAAGGAGGCATGGCACCTAACCCCACCCCTAAACCCAACCGTCATTGGGGGATGAGCAAATCGTACTAAATAGTACAAATTAGATTGTACGAATTCATACGAATTAGCCACTAAATCAAAAAGTTACGAATTGCCGTGAGATTGTGTTGGTACTTCTAGTGGTACGCAGAGAAATACTAAATAATGAAAGAAAAAAATAATAATAATGCACACAAAATAATGATCACAAATGTATTATATGTGTTCATAGTTGTGTAAAACAATGCGTATTTTTAATATATAAAGTTATTTGTTTTGTAAAGAAGCACAGCTTTCGATTAATTTGTTACCTTAGATTTAGGTTAATTAATCTGGATGTGATTCAAATGTCGCGGGATGCCGGGACACAGAACATAGACTCAAGCAACTTTGCCTTGCTTGAAGCTTGAAGCTATATAATTTGATTAAAGTTAGTCTCAGTGTGGTTAACACAGTGCATGTATGAATTGGTCATCAGTGTTTATGCATGTAATCACTCACTATTCAGACACTTGTACTGTAAAGGACGCGCAGTAAGCAGATCTAATTTCTAATTTAAATATGTAATTCCAAATAATTTATTTTAAAATAGAAGTTAATGTTTAGATTTCAAAGATATACAAATAGTGAATGTGTACATGCCACATAATTCAAAATTGATTAAAAATGGTTTATATGATCACATATAGCCTATATCTATTGAGGTTCAGGCAACATTCCAGGTTTTGATAAATAGGTTACTATTTGTTAATACTTTACATTTAAGTACAGCGGTTTTTTTTTTTACTTTAAGAAGTAGCCTACCTTTTTAAATTATCTTTTAAAAGCACAATTTATATGTTGACCTTTATCTATAAGCACAGTACAGTGTTTAAACTATTTATAATATTTAAAGAGGCTGACAACAACAAATATTCTTAATAATCTAAGAATCTGCCTCATCATTATGGTGGTACTTGGAGAGACCATTTTTTTTCTGAGATGGTACTTGACAAAAAAGTTTTAGAACCACCGCACTAAATGACAATAATTGTATTTTAGATTTTTGAATAAATGTTAACAAAAACAAATATATATATATATATATATATATATATAAATTTTACTCAAAAAAATTGTCCTCTCTTATTTTTTTTCATAGCAGTATATATACATTTAATAACAATAATACATTTAATATTAAATACACACTCAGTCAAACCAAAACATATTCTGACATCTTGAACATTTCTCACATTAGTGAGTTTAAAGCATGACAAGAACTCATAGTCGACAGTGTCTAAACAAATTCACGTTGATAAAGTCAGATAACTTTGCTAGAATGATACAGCAATGTTTTCCTAATGTATATGAGCAAAGCAAAATTATATGACAATATTTACACAACTATCAATACTTTGTTGATTCACCAATAGTCTCAATAGCCTGCAGTCACTGCTGTCAACCAGAAATTCAATATTTTCCCAGACTCACTTCAGCAGCTTCTTTACTTCCTGTTGGTTTCAGCCCATGTAATATTTTGATTATATGTCATTGTTAACCTTATTTTGTTATCCTCACTTACATTAAATGAAATGTATAGTGTCCTGTATCCAATATTAAAACAAATCAGAGATGATATCTGGAGTCTGAAAAGGTTAAAAGTTTAGTCCAATTTTAGGTCCAAAAAGAGACTTAAGAGAAACTAATATCATATCGATCCTTTTTAATCAGTGATTTAGATTATTAACTTTTAATTGGCTTATAATACATTTAATGCTTGACTTAACTGCTAAGTAGGACCCAATTTAAAAAAATACAGATTTTAAATATATATTTAACATGTTAGGCATAAAAGTTATAGCTGATCTTGCTCATGCATAAATAAAATGTTTTACATATACTGTATCCATCCGTTCTGAATCACATGTCCTCTTTAGATCACAGAACATGCAGTCTAAAGGGCCACTATATTAAACATAATTCAGTCACACTTATATTATATATAGTTCATTTCATACTAACAGGAAACTAAGAGTGAACAATCCATGTACAGGATTTATTTAAGATATAGTTCAACATTGACTATAATGCATTATTGAAATCTAAGGTTGTGCTTGTTAACATTAGTTAATGCACTGATAATACTGACTAACAAACACAATAAAAATGCAGGTTCCACACAAGTTATTTATGTTTGGACAATATGAAGGTATTAAATTAACTTATTATTTTTTACAAATTTAAGTGGATTGAACATAAAACAATTGAGTTTTTCAGAACATAAAACAATTGTGTTGTTTCAGCTCATTTTAAATAAGTAGTTTGAACAAACAGTGAACATCCTTTTTAGGTAAAGATAAATAAAAAGATCAGATGCAAAAACTTCTACTAACCTTCTTCTAAAACTAGCATTTTTCTCAGGCTTCTATGTCGTGATACAGTAACGTGATTAAATTTTAACATGAAATAACTGAACATAAACATAAATGAAATTCGAGATGGTACTTACAGGTTTTTGCATCTGAATTCTCAAAATAGATATTGTATTCATTATATTGTAAATTGTTTGCTCGTGTTAGTGAATACATTAACTAACTGAACCGTAATAGCCATAATTCTCACAGAATAGAAGTATGAAATCCTGTGCCTTACCGGAGTCAGCCGTAAAGTGATTATTGAAATTCTTCTCAGTTGCGAATTATTTTAGATGCATTGCTGCTGCAGTGGTTATCCTTGAATGTTGTCTTCTTCAAACTGCTGTATCTTTGTGCTGATGCTTAGAGTTTGTCCCACCTGACGTTTCACTGTAATCTTTCAGCCATCTGCTTGATGTCCTGCTAGACTTATATAGTGCTGGTCTCCGAACAGACTTCTGATCCCCAGTCAAAACCCCACAGGATTTTAACACACCCTGGGAGCTCTGAAATGATAGTGTAAAATAAATTGTGTGAAGTCACGATCACACACAATTTATTTAAAAATACAGACACTTTCCACTGTGTGTATCTGGTATCACAGATGTGTAAAGTTAATCTCTTCAATATAGGGGATTTCAGTAAGATCATTAGTCACCAGTCTGTTCCTACATCAAATAAAAGCACACCAGAGACTGAGCGAAAAAATAAATAAATAAAATCCATCACACAACGGACGGGATATTTGCACTAAAATATAAATGTATCACTCCTGTTTTTTTTCTGATTTAATGCTGGGTTTTTTTTATTTTTTTTTTAGCTCAAGCACCCTGAACATCCTTGACTGGTTCTTGGAAAAAACCTGCCATGTGGAGCTTAACTTGATATTTACTTGAAACAGAAGCAACATAACGGATTTAACAAGATCTTATTTAAATGTATGTCAAACACACAGATGGATGCAATTACGTAGAGAGAAAGGGTTTAAATATAAGATGAGGAATGTGAGTATTGACCATATTCCATTCAAAGCATTATGTTCAAGTAAATAATAATGTTATGTAATAGTAATATATGTAAGAGGTTTTCACATATTTACATGGATGCCAATAAATTCTACCATGCCAATATAAACATAAGAGGCATATGTTTATATAAAAATATAAGTATATATATATATATATATATATATATATATATATATTTATACAACAGTTCTGTCTGGTTCTCGTATCTGATTGGCTGATAGCCATGATATATTTAAGTAATATCCGCACCCATACAGCCTCCATACCTTTTGCGTATTACTCCGCCCACATACAGCCAGCAACAAGCAGAGACACTACAGTTTGACAAATATTACTGCTGTTAGACAACAAAATGTACTTTTGAGGCTTTTTAGTCGAGAATGTAGTTTTTAAGATTGCAACTATCCAGTTTATTTGCAAGAATAGTGCCTATTTTAAAATATTTGCAATTTCTGAGAGAGCTCGTCGACCACCATAGTGTAGACCCAAGACGATTGACGCTTTCTATCCACAAGATGGCGACAGAACCGCATAATAAGCCCTTACACTTAGAAGCTTACAACAGTCTGATTTCTAACTATAGCGGATCAAATCATTATTAAACTGGTAAGCAATACCTGCCAACTCTTCCATTTTCATGGGAGTATCCCGTATTTCAGACCAGTCTCCCGCAACCATCCCGTTTTTATTTCTTTCTAAAAAAACTCCTGTAATTTCACACACCTCCCTCTTTGGTATAAACACCCCCGGGTTGCAAACTTTGGTAGAGTACCTGATTGAAGCGGCCGCCCAAAACCCTCTGCATCCTATCCTATCTCTGTAGATGGATGGCATTTCATGTCACGTTCAGCCTTATAATCTTAAAGTGAACAAAATCAGCTGCTTTGTCATCACTTTAGACATCACATTAGACATAGAGCATCATTCAAACACTAGCTCTAAAGTGACGTTGGTAAATTAGTAACGGTTTCTGCTGTTTTGACGTCAGCTGCAGATGGGAATGAATGACGGAAGAAAGTAGTTCCTAATAAAAAGGGGTTTTTAGACTCTGTGTCTGATTTTCTTATTTATATACACGATTGTGCTGTTGAACTGTTGTATAAACGCAATATGACACTCGTAGCAGTGCGATATGGCTGTATATCAGCACTGGTGGGGCCTTGAGACACTCGTCCTACACCCTCGTACCAACGCACGCCTCCCACTAGTGCTGATATACAGCCATATCGCACTGCTACGAGTGTGATATTGCTCATATATATATATATATATATATATATATATATATATATATATATATATATATATATATATGTTCTATAAATAATTTCAATGTGTACTGTTGTAGACAAAGTTTTTAGCCCTCCTCTGAACTTTTTTTCTTCCAATATTTCTCATGTTATTTTTAATTATTATTTAATTAAATAAAATTTAATATTTTGAATAATTAAAATATCTGTCTAAAATATTATTTTGATTTAAAGTTTGTTTTTCATGTTTCAAATATTATTTATTCTTGTGTTTAATGCTTTTCTCATTACGCTGCTTCAGTATCTCAGAGTCATTCAGAAATTATGTTTAATGCTGGATTAATGCACAAGAAAGTTTTTACTACAACAGTTTTGCAAACACATTTAATAACATTTCAAATATGTTTTGTGCATGCTTTATAAGTGTACATACATTGTTTACCCAGAGTGTTTACATGGTCATAATACAGCAAGTAATACAACAAGCATTTAGTTTGGGCTAGCTTTTGCAGCTAGACATTGCTTTGCAAGGCTCTGAATGGGTGAGCATTAGCCATTGGGAAGTGCCGTTTGTCTCTCCAGATGTGAATTATTCATGACAATTGTCACTTCCACGCATACAGTACACTGTTGGGTCAGTGTACTGTATGCGTGGAAGTGACAATAGACTTTACAAAATGTAAATCATTGTAATGCATTCTTTGAAAGAGAGAACACAATAATTTTAACATAATAGTGAAGTGTTTTCTAGTTTTCTATTTTTCGGACATTATTACAGCAATTTTTTTTTCTTCTCCAAAACTCACTTTACCCCAAAACTTACTCCATTTAAGTTCAAGTAATGAGGTATTTAATTAACTCATTACCTTCAACACTGAGTTCAAAATTCTTGTCAAATGAGTAGATTTATAACTTTTAGTACATTGTGAGTTAACTACACTCATTTCATTTGATGAAGTTGACTGGTGGGTTTTACAATGTATGTTTTCTTCCCAAGAAATTATTATTTCTCTGCACTGTAAAAAAAAAGTTGACTCAATTTTAAAAACGGCAACCAGCTTCAAGACACTTTTTAGTTTACTCAACTAAAATCAAGTCAAGTGCAATACTTAGGTTGAAAGTTGAATCAACTCAAAAAAAGCGCTGCAGCAAGCCTTACAATTTTAAGTTGAGTCAAGTTTTTACCGTGTGGAATAAAAGCAACTTTTATAATTATTGTTATTAATTTGAGGTCAGTAATATTATCCTCTTAATATTTTGTACGGAACAATTTACTGTTGTCCAATTATTTGTCTGGTTGTAATAAACCTTTAAGTTTTTATATGTATATAAGTACAAGACATTTAATCCCACTTCCATTGTTTTTAAATTATAGGAGTTTTAAAACTAATTGTGTAAGTGTATTTATGTTTGGTTGTTGTGTGTGAGCCTATGTCTAAAGAGAATGTTCTAGCCACTGTGGGGAATAGACAGTAAAGTTTACTGAATTTAATTGAATGAATTAAATTAACAAGTCTAAAATATTGCAAAAAAAAGTGTTTATTTAGTAATAGAGTATTTATTTTTTTAAATATTTTTATTTTAAAATATATTCACAGTTGTATAGCTCAGTTTGAACCCCCTGTCATTTTTCATAATTCTTCAATTCAGTTCAATTCAATTCAGTTAAATTCAGTTCAGTTCAGTTCAGTTTAAGATTACTTGCATATCCACAAAAGTTACTATTCGAAAGCAGCTTCACAAAAGGTTTTTGTATCTTATTGAAAGTTATTGAGTTACTATCAAAAGCAGATGTGAATCAGATGTGTTCAAATGAGGTAACTGGGCTCCTATTATATATTGAGTGAATTCATTATTAAATGGCTTCTGAATACTATATGTTTATCCAAATGATAGGACAGGGTCATTGTGGGGTTAAGACAGAGACCGTGAGAATTAACTCTTTCTGAACTCATAACAGTGATGTGATAAAGCACGATTCCGCACATCTCCGCCGGTCCACCTTAAGCGCTCAGTCAGGCAGGCTTTTGCAGGGCGATCAGGGGGAGGCCCTCACTGACACATGCCTAGCGCTTTAAGGCGGACTGGAGCGGATAGAGCCCCGCTTAAAGGCACAAGCACGCTAAAATCACATACACTTTATACGTGTAAATGTCGCTTTATTGCGTTCAGTATGACAGTGTGAGATTTATAATGCTCAGAGTGATTTAGAAAGGAATTTGCTGTCTGTCTTTTATTTGAATAGTCTAATTGTGATTAATAATATAGCAAAGTATTTTACAGAGAACTATCCAGGTGGTGCAGAGAGTAAGCAATGAAAAACAAACATGCATATGTTACTTATAATTTACCCCTGAGGGAAAACAACAAAGTTTTAGATTGGATTTGGGCACAGTGATGTATTGGCTACACTGGCAATATGTGAATAGACAGGGTGGTTGAAGTGTTTTATGTTAGAGTGAAGCCGTTTAACATAAAGTGTCACACTCATCGAGCGCGCGCACCCGTGCCAAGCTACTCACGAGCTCCGCCGGTGTTGCCATTTCAGCAGATTTTAAGCAATGTGGATGTTTTCAGGGGCTTATTGTTATTGTCAGTCGCTGCTTGTTCATACTTTTTTATTTACATAAATCTCATATATGTAGATCCCAACCGCTCGCCCTTCTTTTGTAAAAAACATTTTTTTTTTACACAGACCCCTAACACTCTTTTGCGGGTCCCTGAAATCTATGTAGATACTTTATAATGGAATTTAGCTATCTGACACACACTATTTGTGTGTGTTTGCGTGTGTCTGTGGGATATTTTGGTTTAAAGACATTTGGTAATGTAAATGCTATTTATTGTTCATTTATCTTTATTATGGTACGTTTTACATTGTTTATGTTCTTATATTTGAAATATTTATTGGTGTTGTTGTTATTATTATTAATATTAATATTGTTATTGTTATTATTATTATTATTATGCTATTAATATAATTATCATTATTAACATCATATTGTTAGAAAAAGCTGATGAATTCAATCATCTAACACTTATTAATTTAGAATTTCAGTAAATATTTGTATTAAGTGTTGCATTTTCATTTTCATGAAATGTTTTTGCTTCATTTTCATTGTCGGCATGTGTTGATTATTATTATGCTCTTATTAATAAAAATATTATTATCTAATTAGTTATCTACCAACACAGACAACAACAAAATTAATACCATAATAACAATAAACCAAGATACTAACCAACACAGTACTTGATGAACTAACTTAATTAGCTTCTCGCTTTTACACAGTGATCATTATATATATGGTTGTTTTTATTTTATTATTTGATATATTTTTAAAAGCTATAAAAATATTAATCACACTTTATATAATGAACAAATAAATATATTTGTATTTATTTATTGGAATAGTTTATAATTCCAATACAT